CCAGGATAAAACAGGAGCATTCAGAGAAGAAAATGTCATTTAAGTGTCCTTTGCATTGATTCATGTCCACTGTTAAAGCAACTGGGGACATCTCAATGCTACAGCCTTCTCTGGAGAAGGCTCATCAGATAATCTGTCCAAAACCGACATGACCACTAACAATTTTAAGGAACAAACTGACAAAACAAACAGTAACAAATCACCAGGACTACATATTCACCCAACAGTTCTAAAAGCACTAATTAGTTACATAATTACTAACACTGATGTGCAACCTCACAAAACTGCCTTGATGTCTAATGAGTGGAAGGGTAACAAACGTGAAAAAGAACCCAGTGAGATTCAGGTCTGATGTCTGTACCAGATAAATTAGAAGAGACCATAAAACAGAACAATAGAATTATTGGGCAGCTGGATAAAGACAATCAGCTTTATGACTCCTAAGTTCTGACTTACCCAATTCTTGATTTCTTTGAAGGGCTCAACAAACATGCATAGGGAAGACCCATCTCCTAACACCCATGTGGCTTACCAGGAGACTTTTGACAAAGGCACTCACCAAAATCCTAGTGAAACTAAGCAATCATGCTGCAAGGGAGGACTAGATGACTTTTAAAGGTCCTTTCCAACCTAAAACATTCTATGATGAAGGGAGAATGTCCTATTATAAAGAGATACCTAATCTATAGATCAAAGGCTAGAAAACAGAGTAAATTACCAGTTGCTGAAGTGGTGGAAGATAACCAGTTGAATTCTATAGGGTTTTGTGCTAGGACCTGCTGTGTTCAACTTTTCCATAAACAACATGGAAAAAGCAGATGACACGGAAGAGTTTACTGATGACACTAAGATACTCAAAGTAGCAAAGATGAAGGTTGACTGAAGAGCAGAAAAAGGATTTGTAGTCAACTGGTAATAAAATAGCAGATGAAACTTAAGTGCAAATAAAGATTAAATGATGCATGCAGAAAAACACAGCAGACACTCCTTTACATATAAAATTACAGCCTTTGAAGCAACCATAACCACCTGAAGAGCAACCCTGGGGTTAATGACAAATTTCTCATAGGGGTTTAGTGTCCACAGGAGGTCAAGAAAACAAATCAAATGTTGGGAATTACTAGGAAATAAACTTATGAAGACATGTATATCTATGATATGGCCACATCTTAAATGCCATGTTCTGATTTCCTAAATTAAAACAAATAACAAACCTAAGCAAAAAACACATCAAACAGGAATTAAGATTGTAAAAAATTCTGAGAAAGGCAACACAGATGTGCAGGAGTATGGATTAGCCTCTGTATCAGAGAGGCCTAAGTCACAGCAAGTAGTCTTCAGTCTGGGAAAGAGGTCACTCAAGGAGGATATAAAGGTCTAGAAAGTTGTGTGTGTGTGTGTGTGAAACGAATGACAGGATTAAGTATTCACTGACTTTTCAATAAAAGAGCCAGAGGCTATAAAATAAAGACAGTAAAGGCCAAATTCAAAATAAGCAAAAGGAATTATTTGTGCAATGGGGTAGTTACTATAGCAGCTCCTTGCCAATGATGTTAGAAGTTTTCATGGGGTAAGGGAGAGACAATAGAATTTCACGAAAAATAAGTCAACCAAGGTTTGTTTCATACACAGAACCACAGCTGGCTGAGGAATTTTCCAAACTGGAAAGAGCTGGAGGTTTGGTAAGTATACACAGGAAATACTGTGGTTATGCTTGCCCTGTTTTCACTGTTATCTAGCTATCTGATTTTCAGCACTGCCGAGTATGGACAGGATGAACCTTCCATGTGACCCGGTGTCATTATTCTTTTGCTGAACAGGCAATTGCTGCATCCAGTGATGTCAGGTACTCAACAAATGTTTCCTAATTAAAGAAGCAGGTTATACTACAGTATAAAGGGTATTTTCTATAGAACAAGCACAGGATTTCTCCTATGCCGATTTTAGTATCACACCCCCTGTTTTTGCACTTAGGATTGAAAATAGACTCCTAACTGTACACTGATAAAAGACTACACGGAAGCTGGCAGGGCTCCAAAATGCCACCTAAGCTCAGGTAGTGCCTGACTCATTGAGAGAAGCTACTGCACCATTTAGGCAGTCTCCCCATTCCAAAAGCACAACTTCCTCATGACTTATGACATTAACCACAGCCTGAGTAAGTCATCCTTTCTATAGCTTATCTGAAAAGCTTAGAGATGCTAATGATCTGGGAAAGGGGAACAGCAATCCTGTTAAAAGATTTCTGGAAATGGGCAAAAGTCTACAATGCTGACTAGAAACAGAAGCATGGAAAGTTCATCCTGCAAGATAGAGGCTCTACAAGAACACTTCTGACAGCTTTCACAGCACGTGGCAGCCATCAAGAAGTTTTGGTACTCCACACAAGTAAGCCCCAAAACTATGCACGAGTGAAGTTGAACAAAACATGTACTTCAGAAGCATAGAAAAGCATGCTTGAATTCCCCAGTCCTACCTGGCAGATCCAGCTTTTCCAATCTTCTGTAGTCTCCTTACCTAAGACTATGACACATGGAATTTAGCAAGTCTTGTCAACTCAATTTCCCTGAAAGTCTTTCTCACAGAGTTAAATAACTACTCTCCCATTTCTTCTGACTTTTACGCAAGAGAGCAAAATGAAGAAAGAGCTGAAACTGCAGTGTGGTGAGAAGAACAGAGACTATTTGGGTGGCAGCTTTGGAATTCAGTGTGCGGTGTGTCAAAAAGTCATTCATCCTATTTCCAGTGCTCACGCTTTTATTTTCACAATATTTAATGCTTCTTTTTAAAGTCACAGTGATTAAAGCACTTGAGAAAGTCTGAATGTTGATTTTCTTTTACTTTTTCCTCAGTATGTTTCCAGCTGCCACTACTGCCAGTAAAAAAAAGAAAAAGAAAAATGATCCCACAAACTTTGCAACCTGAAAATTCAGAAAACACACACACACTTCCTTTTTTAACATACCAGTTCTTAGTCCTGAGGATTTTTAATACTTTGAGTTAGTAACAACACTAATTTATCCTCCTCTTTGCTTCTTGCCACAGCAGAGAATTTCACTCGCGCTGCTGTTACTTGGTTTTCTTTTCAACACATACCAACTCATACTGTAATTCACTAGCTGACAGCTTCTAAAAGAAAGATTAGCAGTGCCAACTACACCTCAGGAAAAACATTTGCACTTCTCACAGCTCAAGTGTTTATTATATACTACAGAAAAAGCGGTGCGTTAGGTTATCTAAATCTCTCTTGTTTCTGCAGGGCTTCACTAAGCTTACAACTGACAGTTGCATGCTTGTTTAAAAACTACAGTAAGAAATAATTACTCTAAAGGCGCTGCATATATAATCATCACAACATAGTAACTAAGTTTTTTTTAATAGACAAGCTACTTCTTTACTAATTTGTATCTTGATAAAACAACTGACAGTTTAATACGAAAAGCAATACTAATATAGTGAAGAAAGATATATTTTATGGCCCCTTAATAATGTAGACAAATGAGAAGTAAAATTCTGAACACTACCTGACAATAAATAATTTGAATTTATATATAAGCCTACAATTCATTATAACACAAACCTATTATCTCAAGAGCCTAGAAAAGTTCCCCTTAAAATTACAGATTAAGATTGAGAGAAAGATGTTACTCAATTTAACCTACTTATTCCCAGTCCCATAATTTTCTGAATTTTTAATACAGTGCTCACAAGGAAAAATAACTATAAATCTCGTAAAATATCATGCCTTTGATATTTCTCATATTATTTACAGATCATTTCCACAATCTTTTACTGAAGCATCTTTGAAGACTGTACAATGCAAGAGCAGCCTGAACCTAGAAATACTCTGCTATGCTGCAGAAATATTGACCAACAGACATTTAGACGAATAGAAACAAGATAACCTTTGTTCCTCTTCCATGGGTATCATCACAGAAAACGATGCAGGTAGATAGGACAGGGAGAAATTATTTTTTTATTTGGCAAGAGAAGGAATAGATTGTTCAGTCTAGCCAATCTGGTTACCTTCATTAACTGCCTTTAAAAACAGCAGGACAAAAAACCTCCTTCCAACAATTCCTCAGGAATTACTAACCCTGGGATAAATTGTATAGGATAACAACGTCCTCAAACTAGTCTAAGTTCCTTACTTTTAAAAATATATTTTGTGCGATTTAATGTTTCATGTTCTGAAACCTTTTTTTCCACCACTGAATACCTACGCTTTACATGAAAACTATTATTTTCTTCTTAAATCTTACCTGCCAACAGAGCTGAGTAATTTGCCACACGTAGGGCACTCTAGTCTCACCAGCATGGAAATCTTTAAAACTGTGTCCCTGCACCAAACTCCCACAGCCTGGTGCTCCAGTAAATTTAGGAACATACACTATGACATAGCAGGAGAATACAGGAACACCTGACTCTTGAAGTTCTAATGAAGTTAGTAGCATACACACTCTTCTAATTGTACTTTGTAATAGGAGACATTATGGCATTCTTTCTAGGTCCACGTTCCAAATGCAGTTTTTTAAGTATATGGTTTTCTCTGGTAGAGGAGGGATACCTTATGATACCTTTTGCACTTATCAAGGAACAATTTTTTCTCTGCTTTCTAATTGCTTAACTATCGAAAATTCACACTTCTTTCACAGGGGAGGAAGGCAGGAGAAATCTCAACAGTTTCCTATTATTAAATATAGAAAAAAACTGTTTGCTTTTAAAAGTATTTTTTAAAATTAAGAAAAATAATTAAGTACTCAAAGGACTGTTTCTACACATGCAAAGGACAGACAAGTTAATCCACTGTCTTCTGTACTGCTTTAAATCTTTAATGTAAATTTTTTCAACTCTTTACTTGTTAAAAAAGGCTTTCAACCATTTAAAATTTTTATTTGGTAAAGGCATGAAAGTAGGTCACTAGGAACAAGCTTATATACAATAATACACGGACACATCAGAGGATTAATATATAAAAATCAAGAGATGAAAAAACTGACCTGCTGCTTCTGGTGTTTGTTTAGTAGGGCTAAAAATAGCACGTAACATCTGGAGCAGTCTGCTAAAGCTGCACAGAAGTCATCATAGCAGGAAAGTTTGCTACAAAGGTAGAAAAATATAAATTAATTTTTTTTCACAAAAGATTTTTTTTTAAAATCACTCTGCTTTTGACTCTCAGAGGCACGTTTTCCAACAAATGAAATCAATGCAAATACTCTGACTTCTGGTAGAGGCATACACAGTGTATATAAAAGCACAGCAGAAGTCTGGCTATCCTTGCACAGTGCATTATAGGAAGAAGTGCACATAAGGAGCTTCCCAACCTGCTTGCCATATGGGCACAGTATGTGAACACTAGCCCTGCTTAGCATTCAGTGGGAGAACTGTAATTTCAAGATGACATGGGAAGTCAGACAGGAGAGGAAATAAAGGGTCCCTTCCTAATTCACGCCCAGTAGAGCCCAGTGACAGCACTAACAGAACACATCTCTCACCAGCAAGCAAGGAGAACCCACCTTCCTGCAGCCACAATCAATCACAGCAGGACTTACAGTCTTAGAGAAATTAATAACCTGAATAGATTGAACATGTTCTCTAACAAGAAGCTGCCTAAATTTACTGACAGAGAGAAAAGAGTACTCTTTTACTTTACTAGTACTACTAGAAGACAAAACAAAAATCAAATCTGTGCTCTGTACTGCAGACTATGATTTTATTTTTTTGTGACTGCAATTTCCAGGCAGCTAATTAAATTGATTTTACAGCTAATTTGTATCCTCAGACCATGCAGTTCCCTAAACTTCAGAGAAAAAAACTGAAGTGGTAGGGAACTTTAAATAAGACAAATTACTTTTTCTCCATATTGAATTCTAGACCAAGTAAATGTCCTTTTCAGAATTACAGTGTAAGTATCAATTACATTTAATTACAAACTCATTACCCTACTTTCCATGGCATTTTCCAAGTAAAAGAAATGCTCTCTCCTTAGAAGTAGTAAATATGCTCAAAGTGCTGTAATCATTGCTAGAATTCACCTCATTATTAGGAATAAAAGTTGAGAGACAGATGTGAACATGGTGTCATGGAACTGGGGAAGCAATTCACATGTTTTACAGGTAGCACAAACAGCCAAGAACCAGATTTGCCTGTTTTTAGCTGTGGATAGGACGAAATGGCCATCCCTTATAGAGCTGCTCCTCAAAGCACAACCAGATCTCACCTAGAAAGAGGAATGTGATGGATAATTTGGAGGGGCTGAACAGAAAGGCAAGTCCACAGCAGAATCTCAATGAACACAGCCATAGGCAACATGACTCAATAGCAGCAATGGCAAACAGTTGTGTTCATAACCCAACTCTTCCTGAAATTATCAACTGTTACTTTCACAACTTCTTCAAAATCCTTAAATTGCTTGCAAGTCCATTTAACATTGGCTATTGCAAGCCGGTGCTTGGTAACTGGAAGACTTTTGACTGAAAAACTATTCAGACTACAAAAGAATCTTTTTGGGTGACTCACTCACACTGATCCCCCTCTAAAAAGCACATCTTGCGAAGCAGCCACTGAGCTGCTCATAAAACTGAGATTCTCTCAACACTTCCATCTGCACACTCAAGCCCTGATCCCACAGATTAATCGCCTCAAACACTCTGTGACAGCTCAGAACAATGAACACTGATCACATTTTGTTTCCTGTATTTTATTTTAAAATACACAGTCCCAAGTATAATATAAGTTTGTGTAATTGGTCCCATTTGTTGGTTTAGGGGGACTGTGTGTGTTTATTTGTTTTTTAAACATGACCTAAAGTAGGATTAATACTTAATATTTTATGCAGCTTTGAAATGTAAGAAAAATAAAAATCTCAGTCAGAATCTGTGGGATCAAAGAACAACACAATACAACAAAAAATTTTTCACAGGGACGATGAATCCCAGTTTGTATAGCTACACCTAAACAATTCTATCTATATGAATACAGACATGATTATCACACAAAAGCATTGAAAGCCACACAAAACTTTTAAAAAACCAACTCAGTGTAAACCTCTTAAGTTTTTTTGCGCTTGATCCCGCCCTCTTTGAGGTCACTGGAAGCAGAAGCACCGCGTCGACCGCCTGCAGAACCAGCTGTGTGCTGTCCAGATACCTGAGCATGCTGGTGAGGGAGCAGCGCAGATCCCTGTCGCTCCGGCGCTGCTCCAGCGCCACGCAGAGCTCGGAGGCCGCAGCGCCGCGCAGCAGCTGTCGCCGCGCCCCGCCTGCGTCGGCCAAGTTCCGCAAAGTACCCGTCAGCTGCGGAGAGAGTATTTAAGGAATACAATGGAATCCACATCGTTTTCAAAATTTAACAAAGCTCAGATCTCATTTGTAACGCCCGAGGCAGCCTGAACGCCCTGTTAGCATTCTGCAGGTATGCATCTACCAATACATTCTGGTAACAAAATTGTGTATATTGAAATAATTGTTTGAAAATAAAAGACTGAACCTGGCCTGTGCCTGCATGAAACCTCCTTCTCTGAGGGAAACACGACCTCTCACGTTTTAAATTCCTGTATGCATGTATACAACCCTATACCAACAGGAAATCAGGTGAAATGCTGTAGATAATTAAAGCGCTTTTTTGCATAATCTCTCATTTTTGCCAATTGTAAATAAATACCGATACATAATATATTCAGTCCAGAGGAGGGCCACAGAGTTGGCTCAGGGGCTGGAGCATCTCTGCTACGAGGACAGGCTGAGGGCACTGGGATTGTTCAGCCTGGAGAGGAGAGGACTCCAGGGAGGATATTGTAACCACCTTCCAATAGCTGAAGGGAAGCTACAGGAAGGCTGGAGAGGGACTTTTCACAAGAGTGTGCAGCGACAGGCCAAGGGGAAATGGTTTTAAACTGAAGGAGAGTAGGTTTAGACTAGATCTTAGGAAGAAGTTCTTCAGTACAAGGGTGTAGAGACTCTGGTATAGATTGACCAGAGAGGCTGTGGATGCCCCTCCCTGGAGGTGTTCAAGGCCAGGTTGGATGAGGCCTTGAGCAACCTGGTCTAGTTGAGAGGCGTCCCTGCCCTTGGCAGGCAGGTTGGATTAGATATCTCTAGGGTCCCTTCTGACCTAAACGATTCCATGATTCTATGACATGTATTTTAACAATAACCTTATATTGCAAACTAATATGAATTGATTTTAAGACTATAAAAATTACTTTTCTTAAAAAAAAATTTAAAGGTTAATCAAGAGAAATCCACTATTTAAACAATATAAAAATGAAAAGTGTGTCTCCATCTTTATTTTGGAGAAAGCAAAATATTTTTGGAAGACACTGTTCTATTTCAAGGAGTTTTAAGCATAAAATATCTATCACTTGTAGATATGCAGAATGAATCAGCTGTTGCATATTTTGAAATGTTCTGGTTCAATTCCAAGGTAAGGGTATTCAAATGCCAAGGTCAGACAGGCAATGACATGTTAAGTTAACTTGATCTAAACCAGAACTTAGTGTAATATTCATGTGAATTCGTTTAATCTAGCATGAATATAGGAATTCTTAAAATTTTCCTTATTCTAAGAGTAAGGTATTTAACTTCAATTTGGTTTCAAATGTAGTTTCATAAGGCACAAAAGCCTATGTGTTCAGATAGTTTGCAATAAGAAAAAAAAAACCTAGAAATTAAGTATTTTATCACTGAATTGGACACTGTACTCCTTGTGCGGTGATATATAATTACTAATTTTAAAACAAAATGTGGCAAAGAGCAGGTTAAGTTGTTGCATTTGAGGTTTTGCTTATAGGATCCTATGCACTAGTCTGTCCATTCTCCAGCTGCTTTCAAACTTGTCCTACTTCAACAAATCTGACAGAAGTATACATGTCATCAGTTACCACACGACATTCTGTAATAAAACAATAGGAGAAGGAACATCTGTCAAAATGGAGAAGCAAGATAGAGCAAAAAAAATTATGTGGTAATGTGATACATGAATGGATTTAGCTTCAGCACTAAATATGAAACGTATACTATCTTGAGAATAAACAGAAACTTAATGCAGAAGCCATTTACTTCATATTGCTCATATTTTAAGAAGACACCTGGAATTTTTTTGTTATTTTAACTAAACAACCGCAAAAAATATATTCCCAGATATGCATTCTGTCACAAGTCATGATGTGTCAAAAAAATCAACACAACACTGGAAAAATATTTTAAAATAAAAATATCCTGATCGAATACTTCGCTATTCAAAAGTTTTGGTGGAAAAATTCCCATCAAATTGAATAGACACGGAAGATTCCATTTAGAGCTCACATACAAGATGCTCACAGTTATGCTACAATAATGTCTGTTGAGCTCTAGCTAAACTTCACAATAAATAAAATGAAGAATAAGCCATGTATTAAAAGTATTGTTCAAACCCACATGAGGACTTAGACTGCAGCAATAAGACTTATATATTAGATGATTTTTAAAAAATCTTTATCAATGGTAATGGTGCAAAGGTCTCCAAAAAAAGGAATAAATTTAATTTTTCACTGCCTGAAACAGTTCAAAATCCTCCATCAGTCAATTCTATCAGGTGGCATCCTCAAACACAGGTTAGAAAGGAAAAGCAATGCAAAGCAACATATATGTGCAAGACAATAAAATTCAGAAGTTCATGAACTGTAAAAGAACAGTTAGTACATAAGTGAAATTTGAAAAGTACAAATGAAAAAAATAATAGAAGCTAGCCAGAGAGCAGATGAATTCAGGAGACTCTGATTGCTTCAAGGAGCCATGATTCAGGGAGAAATGTGTAACAATTTGCTTCAGCAATCCCTACCAGCCCTAATCCTTATGTTGCCATGCAAAAGACCAAATTCACCCAAACAGAAAATTTAACAGCAGACAAATGCTATTTTTATAGGAGAAGACATTTAAGTGCTTTTCAATTAAGGCACATTGAGTACTTATTAAGTCTTGTCAGTGACACTTCAAAAGCCTTGTTTTTTTGAATAAGCATTACCACATTTCATATAAATATAATCAGACTGCTAGGTGAAGCAACATAAAATGAGTCAAATATTACCTTGGTTTCATGTCCTCTATTAAGGAAAAATAATTATTACAAACATTTTTATTCTTGCATTGTGGAACTTCTGCATAAAATCTATTGCATAACAAGAAGGAATCAGAGAGGAACTTTATTCCCACAAGAAGGCTCTAGCAAGATTATGTATAACACTGCCATCTGGTGATTGTGCAATTATATGGTTAAAGAACAAAGAATTGGTCCCAGTTAAATGAGATACTTCAGCTATCAGCATGAAGAGGTCTCCCTCAGAGACCACTGACTGTTTATGGTGATTTTGTCCTCCGATATAATTTGCTCCCTATTCCTGAAAAATCATATTTATTCATTATTTCTCTGCGTCATTGGATGTTTGATCTTTTGCTACAAGTTAAGGTATGCCACAAAAGCTTCCTTTATTCTGAAGACATGAGTCACAAAAGAAACTTTCTTCAATACTATATCCCTGAAAACAGAACTATTCCTATGTCTGTCTATGATGACTGAACAATTAACTGACATGGACGAAATGTGCACATAAATGCAGATTTGTTGAAGAAACTGATATGAGAAAGTCACACAGGAGTTCCAGAGCAGTTGGAATCACTACTTTCCCCACATGAGGAAGAAAAATGAAGTATCTGTACTACCATAGAAGAGGATACAAAAAAGTAAAAAAACAACCTCAACGAGAGACAGTTGTCAGTATTGACTTTTGCACAAAATACTCGAGACCACCCAAGAAACAGCCAGTTTATTCATAGAATCATAGAATGGTTTGGGTTGTAAGGGACCTTAAAGATCATCTAGTTCCAACCCCCCTGCTATGGGCAGGGACACCTTCCACTAGACCGGATTTCTCAAAGCACAGCCTTGTAACAAGTCCCTCTTCAGCTTACAAACTGCAAAATAGTTTTGCTTCACTTCCAATCGTACTGAAAACAGCAGAGATAATAACAACAACAACAAAAAAGTAAAAAATTTAACATTTTCCTTTTGTACATTTGCAAACTAAACCCTTGATTTAAAAAACTTAATTTAGCCACACATAAATAATGGAAGAAAAATTTCTGCAAAGTTGTGGGGAAATCCAAATAGCTACTGAAACCGCTGAAAATAATCTGATTATTTGGGTATCATTTGTTATTTTTAAATGTCCCAACTGGCAAAAACTCCTTTTTATAGCTATTTAACATAAATTTCCATCTTCTTCTACTCAACAGGATTCCCATTATATGTATTATATGATTAATGCCAACAGCAGCCAGCAAATGTCAATAAGTAATAAGCTTTGGTTTTAATCATCCCCTCCCTGCTCTCAGAAGGCTAAATATTTTTAAACTATATAGACATGAAAAGAAATAGAGGATACATATCTTCACTTTAGGTTTTAAAATGCCTACCAAAACTACAACCTTAATTTCCACTCACTGAAATGACTTCACAGCTTCCATACATGAGGGATCATACTGTACTACATATAAGCTTATTTTTCTTATCGTTTAGGTCTTTTTAAGTCTCTGTCTATCACCTTGCAAGTTACACTGAGAGTAGAATCTATTCTGGATCCCCAGCCCCTCCTCAACACTTTTCAAAGGAGAGTTTCTAACTAAACTGATAGCCTAAGGCAGCACAGCAGTTGTATTGGGACTTGCACAGTCTTAACTAGCAGCATTCAAGAAAAATATGGTCATTAAAACCTTGATTACGTGCAGACCTGAAGTTTGTACACCTGCTCTGGAAAGGGAAGGCTTGGAAATCCCATACACGATTTTTGTACAGAATATAAGTATAATATGAAGTCGACAAAATGGCACAGATAATTTTAGAATTGTTTGGAGAATTCACAGTGCCACAAGAAAGTTAACCTTTCCAATTCTAAAGACAGAAGTGTATAAAACAGAATTTTGTGATTCGTATAGGAACTTAATGATGACAGGACCAGATAGGAAAGAAAATAGGAACATGGCAAGCACAAAATTTCCAGTTTCATCACATATTCTCCAGTCTTTAGCAATCTGTCACTTCAGGACTTCCCTAGTCAAACCAAGTATTGAGCCACATCGTTTCATTCAGTGGTTCATAGCATCTCCCAATCTCTTTGTGTTTGTAATAAGAGTGTACAAACTATTCTGGAGAGACATACTTCATAGCTCTGCTAAAACAAACAGACAAAAATCAGTAACATGATGATGTAAGCTATGTTTTCTCATATAATTTCAACCAGTGTAAAATCCCTTAGTTGTAA